ACTAAACGGCCCTCCACAGTCCCCAGATCTCAATCCAATGGAGCATCTTTGGGATGTGGTGGAACGGGAGATTCGCATCGTGGATGTGCAGCCGACAAATCTGCGCCAACTGTGTGATGCCATCATGTCAATATGGACCAAACTCTCTGAGGAATGCTTCCAGCACCTTGTTGAATCTATGCCACGACGAATTGAGGCAGTTCTGAAGGCAAAAGGGGGTCCAAACCGTTACTAGCATGGTGTACCTAATAACGTGGCCGGTGAGTATATTTTTGTGTTGATGCACATTGCACTCTAATCATCCTATCAGTCTCACTTTGACTAAAAGTAAAAAAAAAAAAAAAAAAAGCAGGTCTCCTTTGACCGACGGGGGCGCGTGACCTGCATCACCGGAAGTTGTTAGCGCTCAGCAGTCTGCAATTGCAGCTTGCGATCAGAGCTGTTGCGATATAGCTTTTATTATTATTATTATTATTTTTATTATCAGTCAAAGTTCGTTTCGTGTACATGTTAGAGGAATCTATGAGCAAAATTGTATCATGTTTAAAGTTTCATTTAATTTGGGCACGTCTAAACGTTTGGGTGCGTATCCAGCACCCCCAAATGCCTGTGCAGAAAGGCGCCGGCCATTTGGGCGGAGGGCTGTTGAAGTCCACAATTAGCACGTCAATGCAGAGGGGCGAACAGAGGAGAGAAGGCTAGACTCGGTCACAAGGGGGAATGAATAATTCCGGAACAGCGGTTGAACAACAAAAGACGATTTGAGAACACCCGTCGCGCCCAGGCGACATTCGTCGTCCGCAAAGTCTGCAACATGTTGATTCAGCGAAGACCAGACAGAATGGCGTCAACGTACCGGTGGTTCAAAGCTTAAACCAAGGTAACCAATCACTACCGAGGGTCCGGACCGGGGGCGCGGTATGCAAATATCAGGGGCAGTGTTTTTCTTTTATGTTACAATAAAAGTCCGAATTGGCGGGAAGGGAGCTCAAGTGTGATTACTGGGGCAACAACCGTCGTTCGTCCTCAGAGATCCCTCCCGCCGATCTTGAAGACAATTTTCCCTGTGTGCCGTGTCATTTCTTTAACTTTGTCCGAGAAAAACTCTGACAGTACATTTCACCCATGGCACTCGCAAAGAATGGCAATCTGGAGGGCCAAGAGAAGCATTTTGAAACGGTACGCGTGAGCTACGAGAGTTAACGGGCTGCAAAGGTGCGACGCATGCCTCCGCATCAGGTCTCCCACTAAGGTAGGCAGAAAATCCTTTTCACAAACTCATCAATTCCTGTGCCTACTTTATTTTTCTGTTTCGTTTATCTTAGGGGCCGTTATGGCTGTTGCTCATCATGGCATGCGTGTATAAGTGTGCGCGGTAACGGATCGATCACGGGAGGTTGGTTGATCAAAAAGTAAATCTTCGGTCAAAATAGGTTGGGCACGCCTGCAATAGAGCATTAAGAACACGTGATATTTTTGTCATTGGTTAAGTGCTCAAAAATCTTGAGGCTATCAGGCTTGAGCTAAAAATGATTTAAGTCCATCTTCAACTTCAGTTTGTATGAAGACCTTTAATTTGATTTAGGTCTCACAGTACAACCTTAAATGTAATACTTTATAGGCATATTGTACATGACATCAATAAACGTGTATGTGTTTTTTTTTTTTAAACCATTGCAAAAAAGAAAGGGTTTCAGTGTAAGGGCAAAATAACAATTCCTGGTTTAACCACAAAGAGCAGATTAGGATTTGGACAATTTCTTCCAAATGTACACGTTTTTTGATGAGAAATGCACAAATGTAGACTGCAATTCGTCTATCTCTCATTTGCCCTCTCCAGTGAGATTGGAACATTTTGCTCTCCATCCAAAATTGCACCACAACCTGAAAACTTAGCAAAAGCAAAAACAATCTTCGAACTCACTGAAGCTTGAATGGAGGTCTCCTTCCAATACAGACGTCAACAAAATTTCTGTGTGCGTGTGTGTGCGTGTGTGTGTGTGTGTGTGTGTGTGTGTGTGTGTGTGTGTTTTGTGTGACTGTGTTTACTTTTTTTCAGCCACTCTCATCCTCCCACACAAAGATCACCTCCAGAGCCCAGCATGCTATGGCCACCCAGAACAAGATCTTCCATTAGAGTAATTGACCAATTTATTTGCTGCTGCAGTTGATTATGGTTCTACACAAGCAGCATTTCACAAAAAAATAAATAAAAAAATCTAAATTATCTGCGAGCCCCATACCTAACAAGTGTCTCCGAGGCAAAAGCTACAGCAATCATCAACACATTATTTTCAACATAATCACATTCAGTGCAGTTTGTTTCAACGAGAATTTAGTTGGACCTTGGATTTGGTTCAATGCAAAATACGACTTTAATTTTGGCAAATGGCGACACCGTTTTTTTTTGGAGGGGGGTGGTTGGTGCGAAATATACAGTTTGCAACACAGTATATCCTCAGCAGGTGCACAATGCAAGTTGGAAGAGTAATGTAATTTTGAGAGACTAAAAACAATGTGCCGTATTGTCCGCGCTATGATGCGCACCTAAAAGCTTTCAATTTCCTCAAAAGCCGACAGTGCGCCTTATGTCTGGATCAATATTCTGATATCTTGGACGTAGTATTTTAAATGTTCTGTGAACCGTTATGTTACAGCTGCAACGGTTGTGAAAGCGTTATAGCAATAAAGGTGTGTTGTATTGTATTCCCTTTAGCATAGCTCCATCTAGTGGATGCATAACGCAACCGCAGCCACTATTGTAGCTTCTATCTGTGCGCCTTATAATTTGGCGTGCCCAATGTATGAAAAAGGTTTTAGCACAGGCCATTCATTGAAGGTCAGCCTTATAATTCGAAGCGCCTTATAGTACGGAAAATACGGTATGTCACTACCTTGACTCTATGCATGTGAAATAAAGGACTTCTGTACACCAGTTCTTAACTTTCAGATATGAAATTTGTGAATGTGAATTAATCCATTTTAGTCACAGTGGCAGCCAGTCAATAGCGAGTTCTAGCGTGCCACGTTACCACAGCTCAATCACCTTGAAAAAGACAAAACAAAATAATAAAAGTAAAAAAATGTCAATCTCATATTTTAAAATATGCGTGTCTTATTTTTAGATGTGAAGGATAAATAGTATACAGTAAGTGGTGAACAGTAAACTTGTTTCGTTTATCTCTGTTGTCTCATTTTATAATGCAACTTCTGATTTGGGTGCAAAGCTGTTTTTCCCATTCTGTTGTTAAAAGTTTGACGTGCAGAAGGTCTACTTAAATTCAAAAAAATTGGGCGACGATAACAAATATTAAACGATTGCAATTACATTCAACGCATTGAAACTGTTTGTATATTTTATTCCGTTACAGTCTAGTCTTTAGCGGACTTCATTTTACAGGTATGTGTCTAACCTGTGTGGGTAGTTCTGCAGGGCAACTGATGCACTGCCAACAAACAGGAATGACCTCTGTGATGGTTATTAGGTGAGAAAGGCCTGAGGCACTTAGGGCTCCACAAGCTGCAATAAACCTTTGAAGAGCCATGTGTATTTCTGGCTACAGCACTGTGGTTCATTTCAATCCAATGCAGCGTGATAGTCAGACAATGGCCATGCGAAGAATTTTCTCTGAACAACCCTATCAGGCCAAGATAACCCAAAACAAACAAAAAAAAAACAGGGGCCACTAATGACCATCAAAACGAATACAAAATGGCTGTAAATTGTAATCCATCATAATCATAAGATTGGATTCATGATAATGAGAAGCAGGGTGACGATTATTTTCACAACTGAAAATTTAAATTTTGTCACTATCTTCCTTGCTGTTTACAAAGTATGTTTGTCTTGAATGCAAATAACTCTATTATTTATTTTGGCGGTAGATTGTTCCATGCAGTGGGCTCTAGCACATTGGTGGCTCCTGTGAGGTCATCGGGGTGGCCATCGGGAATTTCGGGAAAATATGTTTATTTACCCGAACTGCCGGTATATTTCTGCCTCTCCCCCTCTGTCAACGGTTACATTTCAATACGCGACGGCTGCACCCCATCACCAACCACATCTCGGCACACGATGGAGTGTCGACGACAACTTTTCAGTACATGACGGATCTCAGCCCCACCCATGTTGACGCAACAAGTGACGGCCATCGTCGACGACGTTTCCTGGACCGAATTTTGGTCTCAGCACGGCCCTGAGTATAGCTTAGAAAGAAGAAGGATGGATGGCTGGATGACTGTTCCATACACTAACAACTATTTGTCCGACTATTATTTCTTTGAAATTGTAATGAACCTCCCCACTAAATACACACAGATACAGAAAATGACAGCTGCACCATCCAATCATTTAACTCGAAAGACGATCAAAAGTTCTCCCACAAAAAATTGTGTAGGGCCAATAACAATAACAGTTTTGAATGTCCAAAAATTCCCTGATTGCACTGCCTTTTTTGTTTTGTTGTTAATAGTAACCTAAATTTCAGTTCAAAGTCCTGACTTACAGGGTAAGCAATTGCAGCCCCAGTGTTACAGTGCCAATATTACGGACGGAAAATTTATGAAAACCAAATGTCTTTTGTAAAAGTAATCATGCATTATTTTTTATTTTGGTCTGGAGTAGGACAAGTGTAAACACACCCCATATTTTAGCATACGCTCTGATTTTTTTTTTTTTTTTTCGGTTTAACGGTCAAAATTGGAGTGAAATCCCTCTGTGACAAAGTCAAAGCAAATTTGTGAAATCCTCACTCTATATCGACATTACAATTACTGAGAGCCGCGACTGGATACTTGATGAAACTTGAAATCAGCCCTCATTCAAATCAGTCGGTGAGTCAGCCAACTCAGACTGTGACTTTCTTTTTCCCTTATTAATTTTCCTTGTCTCGGTCTAATCAAACTCCACAAGAACAAGGTCAGCGTCCATGGTTCCTCAACTGGCACTACCTGTGATTGCAGGTCTCAAAAGTCATTAGCAGAATAAGGTCACGGTTTGATGAGTACAACTATGAAGTGAGAGGAAGGGCAGTGGCTTAGGTGAGGGGGAAATATTCAATAATGGCATGAATGTGCAGCTGTCAATGTATTTCTTCAATGTGTGTTTCCTTCAACTTATGAGAGGATGATATATTTGAGCCATATACAAAAAAAATGAAAGAACAAAAATTACTCGATGACCATGAAAACAACAACAGTCTAATGAAGTCTGCCGAGTGCGAGCGGAACCCAGACAAACAACCGAACGCAGCCTCTTTTACATTTTTTTTTTTTTTTTCAGGCCAATCTCATTTTTGTCTCGTTGCTGATCAATACCAATGACTTCTCAATCTTGCAGGACAAGTAGTTTGAAATTAAACTGGCGAACAAGTACAAAGTTGCCCACCTCCCACTAGCTGAATTCAATTCCAACCATTGACCGTGATAGATTCCCCATTTAAAAGCTGGAGCTTGTGCCCTGGATAATATTTCAGACGACTGTCTCTGCTTTCCTGCAGACCTACGGGGAGTAGAAATGGTTAAGATAAGTCGTTGTTTGAGAATTGGTGTTATTTACATGTTACAATTGTTATTTGTCATGATCCTGTCTTGTTTGTTTTGTTTTTGATTTAGTTTTTTTAGGGGGGTGGGGCAGGGGGGGATTTCAGTCTCCAGCTGGAGAGTTGGCGTTAACGAGTCACACCTGTCTCACTTCAGGCGTCATTACCTACTGCCTATATAAAGCCATGCTTCACTGACTCCTAGCTGTCAGATTGTTGTCTTGGTCATGACGCTGTCGCCAAGTACTAATTTTTGAGACGTTCTTGCCATTTTTGCCTTGTTTCTTCATAGCATTTTTGTTCTTTGAAGTATTTTCCTTATTTGGTATTCTCGGTGTTTGTTCTTTGTGTATTGGATTCTCTTGTGCTTTGAGTTGACGCACAATTTGTTTTTTTTTGCTCGTTGTCTTTTGCGTTTTTTTTTTTTTTTTTGGTTTGCTCTCACCTTTTCCTGGTTCTCTGTGACCATTTTATTTTATTCATGCAATTGTTTATTTCATTGGGACAGTGAACATTAATCAAAAAAAAGAATAAATAGTATAAATGCTAATTTTCCAGCCGTAGTCCCAAGGCAGGTTTCTAAGATAGCACAGTGAGACCAGCGTTCTTAGTTTGTACTCTGTCGGTCTTGCCTTTTTTGAAATAAATATATTTTTGATCAAAATTTGTCTCTGTCTACACTTGTGGAATCCTTGTTCTGTCCAGACACCTGACATTATTATTTATGTGAGAAGCATCCAATACGGTTTGAAATGGTCAATTAAAGTGATGATCACTTATTTACTTATGTGTCTATTTTGCTGTGAGACGCAAGTGTTGAACTCTTATCTTGTTCTTTGGCTGTCTTCGCCATCCATGTCATTTTTTTGTCGCCAGTGAAAACTTACCACTATTTTTCTGTTCAAAACTAATAGTCAAAATGGAAGGAACATAATATGGGCCCAATTTCGCAATATGATGGCCGATTAATATTTTTCCACAAAAAAAAAAAAAAAAAAAATCAAGTAAAGGCTTGCCAAAACAAATTCCTGCTTTCGCATTTAATTCACACTGTCCAAACTGTGACTTTGAAAATTGTCCGTTTTCTTCGTTTCCTCAAATCCAATTTTGTGTTGCTCGGTGTTTTGCATTTTGTTCACTGACTGTACCCAAACTGAACAGAACTGGGAACCTAAAACCAAGGTACATACCAAACCATGACATTTTTCATTCTGCCTCTAGTGAGTAAAAGTTTATGTGGCCTGCAATTCCAACTCTGAATCTCTGGACATGTTTTGGGGCTGACAAAATGCATCATGGTAGTATTTTTAAACATCCGCAATTCTGTTCACCTAGTTGGCTGCCATGCCAAAAAGTGACACTGGCTTGCCACTTAATTGGTGTATCAGATGTGTAACGGTAGAGCCAAGATTTTTTTCACCTGTCCTTTTCACACAGAACCTGTCAAAACAGGACTTTTGTTCACTGTTCACACAGTCAATGCAACTCAACGCTAATTAGATAAACATCATCACAATAGCAATGTTTGTTTTGAATACATGGACCATGTGAAGTTTGATACTACCAATGATGACTATTCGAAGGGCTGAGAGGATTTTTTTTTTTAATTTGCAGCATAAACATAAATAGGCCCAAAGTAATTTTTTTCACAAACGCCTGACTGTAACATACTGTTACATCTAAATGAATATAATCTATCCATCCATGCATCCATTTTCTGATATGCTTTTTGTCACAAGGGTCGCGGGGTGTGCTGGAGCCTTTCCCAGCTGACTTCAGGTCATAGGTGGGGGACACCCTGAGCTGGTTGCCAGCCAATCGCAGGGCACACACACGCGACCAACCATCAGCGCTCACACTCACACCAAGGGACAATTTAGAATGTTGCATCAACCTGCCATGTATGTTTTGGGAATGTGGGAGGAAACCGGAGTACCCAAAGAAAACCCACGCATGCACCGGGAGAACATGCAAACTCCACACAGGAAAGCCAGAGCCGGAATCAAACCTTGCACTTTTGCATTGTGAGGCTGATGCTCTAAATAGTCGCCCACCAGGCCACCCATGAGTATGATAATAATAATAATAATAATGTCATAACAAATCTGAATTGTTTTTCTCAGTCATTTCAGAAAGAGAACCTAGAATTTTATATCCATGTATTTATACATGGAGTGAAATACTTCAAGCTTTTATTTCTTTTTATTATTATTAATTTTAATGACAACGGCTTTCAAATAAAAAATTTGAAATTCAAGGTCTGTGAAAATATAAGATCAATCAAAAAAGATGTTTGAAGCACAAAGGTCAGATTTCCGACAAGTATGGCAATTTCTACTGCTACTTGGTTGCGCTCCATTTGCATGAGTTACTGAATCCATGCACCGTCTGTGGCTTTGAGGGGATGAGCCTGTGGCACTGCATGAGGTGTGATTGAGAAAATTAGCTGATTAGGGTGTGGCACCTTCGGGTTCAGTAAGCCATAATCATCAAGAAACAAAGGACTGAAATAATACAGTCTATGTAAAATGGTTTGACATTATGAGTTTCACTTTCTGAAATGACAAAAATACTGTACTATTTCACAACACTTTTTTAAAGACAAAATCCCATTACAGTTGTAACTTGCCCAACATGTTAAATTTGCATACGAAAAATAAAAACTGAAATGTAGGACTTCCTGCTTGGTGTTGATTTAAAAACACATGTTGACATGGGAGAGGATGTCTCAAGCCAGGACAAACTTCCTGTATCCTGCATCCTACGCTCAACACCTGCTTGAATCATTGCAATTGCCGTTTTCCTTTGTCACTCGAGACGTACGCGCGAGGATAAGACACATGCAGACACACACTCAGCCACATCGACTTGGTCTGAGTGTGAATGAATGAATAAATGCCGTGTATATACTAGACTTGTCAACTAGCTCCCAAAGCAAGAGGTGAGACATTAATGAAGTTGAAATGTTTGAACCAATCCACCATTGGATGTGTATTTAACCCTTTCAGGGACAGTGGTTACTACAGTGGACAGCTTATGTTCTCAGGTTGCAGGTTGTCATTATGCATGATCGGGTTAAAAAAAAAGTGACACGCCCACAGATGGATCTGATGAGACTGGCTCATACTCTGCCACAGAGTGAGATTTAGAATTTTTGTGAACGTTCTTAAAGTCAAATAATGCATATAATGAAGATATTTATCTTCAACCCACTAGCTGAAATGGCCTTGGACTCTTCTGCACACTATTTGGGTGAACAAATGATCTCATATTTCACAGGCTGACATCGTACATGAATAAACTGTACGATCCCACGGAAAGCTACAATTTGTCATAATTATTGCGGTATCTGCAATTGAATTTGGAAGAGAAATGGCCAGCACCACAACCTGTTGAGAAGATACAATGATAAATAGATTTCAATTTGCATAATTCTATTGTAAAATTAAAACGTGTGAAGTGATTCGCCAAAGCTCAGCATAATGGCTGACAACGGCTGTAGCGTTCCGTAATTGCATTCTCCCAATTAAAATCTTAAATGAGCTTTAAACAGATCCTACTGTGGATCCGATCTAAAATCCAGCAGATAGCATGTGCAAGTTCGTAGAAGTTAGCAGTACATGTAATAAATTCAACAAAACACAACACACTTGTATCAACTTTTATGCCACGCTTCATTTTATAGTAACAACACATCGAGAACCACATTCAGCAATCAAATCAAGTACCATTTCATTTGCTGCAACAGACCCCCTGCCTGAGATCATTAATTTCACAGGGATGCACTTTTAAGTCATTTAGTATGTGGAACTGCTTACTTCAATGCATTTATCAATTGAAGGGATTTAATTACACACGCCATTTCTTAGAATAGCCTTCTTTCTATTATACAGTTTCACCCTGTTCTGTTTCTACATTTAGGCTACGGTTACACTGCAGCTCACTGCCAATTATTTTGCACATTCCAGGTCAGATTATTTTTTTTTTTCGAATTAGATCTGGGCCTCTTTCGTATGTGTATATAAAAATGTATGTGAGGCATGAGCAGTATGACGCTCATTCGCACACATCTGACCTATACGTCATCAAAAGTCGAATATGCTCACCGCACAGGCAGGAGGGGCGCCTGAAAACTACTACATCGTCTGTGAATCTGCAAAGTTGTTTTGAGTAACAGTTGTTGTCTTTACATTTGACATTAATTTAATCCTACTTAAAATATGAATCATAAAACGGACATCCGGTGACAGTAAATTAGCCACGGAGCTGGTTCATTTGTTTCGCGATGCAATCATATGACGTCATCTTTAGTGGACGCCTCCATTAAATGACAAAATTGAGGAGTCTTGCCTCATATCATGTCCTCAAAATACTTCTACAAACAAACAGTTTAGTCATTATATTGCTGTATTTTTTGTCCAATACAGCAACCCACAACCATTGGTGCTGTGGCGAATTAGTGTGCCGCGAGAGATCATGGAAAGCGCTGTAATCCCCCTGATTTCAAACTGGCTGCTGAAACGTGAGGTAATTCTTTTTGGATGCATAATGATGAGAATGTTAAAGCCACACCATGAGAAATGACCACCCCCAAAAACGTAAAACGAGAGTAAAAAGAAGAACATTACAATATAAATGAAACGCATGATAATGATTGATGATGAGCTTCCTCTTCACTTAGACCTCGCATGAAATATGTCTACTGAGGGTGCATACAGAGATGGCATTTGACATTCAGATCTGAAATCTCAACAAAAGCAAATGGCCCCACGTAGTCTACACACAAACACGTAGCAATTTGAAATTGGTGGGGGCGTTTCCAAATGCCAGGAAGAATGATGGATGAAAGTATGTATGAGGCTGGGATGGGCCAGAAAGCGTCCCCAAACCGTAACGCCCTCTCATCTGCTACATTCAACCTAACAGTATTAAGCCAACAAATATTCTGATAAGCAAATGTACCGAGCTATCATACAGCTTGAACCTTGGGGGCAATTTGAGAATCAGCACTAACCATCAGTCCATTCTAAGTTTTGAACTGTAGGTTCATCTGCCCACACGACTACTCATGTTGTGCTGTGGTGCAAGAAGCATATATCTAGCTTCCTCTAGTGGCCAAGAGCAAAAACATCAGCTGTCGAGTCTTGGGGGAGACGTTCAACTTTTCATTGATGAATGTTTCCCAGCCTTTGCGCAAATCCAAAAGAATAAACAAGGATTTACTCCCCTGGTGGTGTGAAATTAACTTTTGATACATTTCCATTGTTTCTGTGTAAAACCAAAATATTGTATTGTTCAGTATCTCTAAATGCCTCGTTTGCAGTTGTGGTTTCAGTCATTTTGTTCCGTAGGCAACGTAATTACAATTGTAGGTGACACAGTTTTGAACTGTAGGTTCATCTGCCCACACGACTGCTCATGTTATGCTGTGTTGCAGGAAGCACAATATCTACCGCCCTCTAGTGGCCAAGAGCAAAAATATTCAGCTGTTGAGTCTTTGGGGAGACGTTTAACTTTTCATTGATGAATGTTTCGCAGCCTTTGCGCAAATCCAAAAGAATAAACAAGGAATTTACTCCCCTGGTGGTGTGAAATTAACTTTTGATACATTTCCATTGTTTCTGTGTAAAAGCAAAATATTTTATTGTTCAGTATCTCTAAATGCCCCGTTTGCAGTTGTGGTTTCAGTCATTTATTTCCGTAGGCATCGTAATTACAATTGTGGGTGACACTTCAAATAAATCATTAAGTTTGGCATCGTAATTACAATTGTAGGTGGCACTACAAATAAATCATGAAATTTGCCACGGATGGTAAAGTCATGAAATTAGCCGGGTTTCAACAACATAAAATTATGAGATATGTTCTTATCTTTAGCAGGTTGGTTTATATATGTGCTGTCAAATTGAACCAACCACATGTTTGCAAATAACCGATTGTTTTTCATGCTTTGAATGAAAAGTATAACTTGGGGGGGCTCTAGACTGCCCCGAAATAGTGTGGTTTAGCTCGTAAAGTACATTTTTCATCTACTCAGGCCTCGGCGACCAGTAAATTTGTCGTTTTCTAAATTACGTCTCTTGAATACTTTTTGTTGCTGACAAACTTCTGCAACGTCAATTGTTACTTTCGTTTCAGGCTCCGACAGAGCTTGCACATGAGAAAAAAAAAAATGTGTGTGTGTGTGTGTGTGTGTGTGTGTGTGTGTGTGTGTGTGTGTGTGTGTGTGTGTGTGCGCGCCGCACGCGCGCACACACACACACACACACACACACACACACACACACACACACACACACACACACACACACACACATATATATATATTTTTTTCTCATTTTTGGCCAAAATTGCATCATTCTGAAATCATCAGGGAACGTCTGGAGTGAGTTGGCTGCATTTAAAGTAAAGGGGCCAAATAGTCTCTCATGCCTCACTTTTGGGTACTTTATTCCTTGAATTTCATGTATGAATTTTGTTTGGCCCTCTTGTTCCCATTTGCTTCTGGAAATACAATAATTTTATCGGTAATTGTCTTCCATCATCAAACTCAATGGGCGGCCAATAGGCGGATCTCGCGCTGATCACCACCAATCAAATGATTTGTCCTGCATGACTGAGCTGACGGATGCAATTATTTCATGAAGCAGACCAATTTAGTGCAAGTAGGCGATTAGGCGATCATTACAATAATAATAATAATAATAATAATAATAATAATAATAATAATAATAATAATTATCTCACATCTCACACAGCTGATAATAAAATTCTACAATTAGGACAGGTAGAAAAATTGGAATTGTATACATAGTTTTGCCCTCGTTCATTTTTGGGAAGACATAGATCACAAATAATATTAAATTACTACTTATAAAACAAACACATACAATTCAAAAATACATCAATAAAATAAAATAATCTAAATTGTATAATTGATTGACATTCAGACAGTATTTCGTGACATGGCTTTCGTGACGGACAGTACTTATGTACCACTACTTTCCACCAGAGGGCACACTTGCTCTTTTACGCAACGCGAGTCTATATTTTGACTGTTTTTGTTCAATTGCTGAGAAATAACGTTTGTTTTTTTGTCTCTTCAGTGTCACACATTCACGTATTCTTTCGGAATTAAGTAGAAATTATGTTTAGTCAGGAAAAAAACTATTGAACAGACTTGAAAATACATTGGTTTTTTTTTTTTTCTCCAGCATCACATGGAGTTGTACGGAGCCCCAAAGGTGAACAGGAAAAAAAAACCCAACTGCAATTCAACTGTCAAAACTCGAGTACGTGGTAGATAAGAGAAAATGGGGCTTGAAAAGGCAAACAGAGATATAAAATGAAACATACCATTTAATAACATCCTGACCAGGACACACACTTTTTTCCTTTCTTAGATTTATCAACTAAATAAACATTTGCTTCACAGACATTCAGCCACAAACAAGGCCTTTGTTATATTGATACTGTTGACACTTCAGTGAGTCATCGCTTACGTGGTTTCATTCTTCCACTCAGTCACTGTCTTCACACAGCTGCTGTGCTCCCTTTGTGTCCAGGTGAGCACAGCTGAGCTCCAAGGTTAAGGTGACGTGATGCCACGCTATGAGATCATCTTTAATCACCAGGGATTCACTTTCTGCGGTGGTGAGGTCATTCGCAGACGGCCCTCTGCTAAATTTGTCTTTTACAAAAGCTGTTCTCATTATGTTAATACATTTTACTTTATCAAATATAAGGCAAAAAGTGTTTGGATGAGCAAATAAGATTCATATTCTAAGATAAGAGAACATTTATATATTACATAAATAAATACATTAATTCAACCTACGATGCAGTAATTTGTTGTAAGGTCACTTGTTAAAATTATCATTTACAATCATTTAATTTAGGTGTGCTTTGATTATTTTAACCCTCCCACATAGCTAGGATATGCTATAAGTAACAAACAAAATCTTGGAAACACCTAATATGATCCTGATGCTCCAAACTTCATTTCAATTATAAAGTGTTCATTTCAATGAAAATTAAAAACCAAAACTGAGCTTTATTAATGTCATGTATATTGTGAGAATTTAATTGCCGTTTGAATGATAGGCCATTTATTTCAGACGAATCCATGGTCAACATTTTTGAATAAAAGATGAATAAGACGAATAACTACATAAATACAAAGTACAAATTAACAAAACTGTTATAAAAAATACATACATCATAAAATCTTAAGCAAAGCTCAGAGGTTAACGACGCAGCATGCTTAAAAGAGCAGAATCACTTTTTCATATTTTTTTTAACCCAGCAGGACTTGTACAAACATATTAACTTAGAGCAATTCTTGAATTATAGTCTACAATAGCAGCATCAATAAACAAGTAAAAGATTTTAAGAAAAAACAAGAAATAGGTAAAAAAAAAGTAGGTTTTTTTGGTGTAAATGTAATATTCAAATAAAATGACTTTTCACTACTTCTTCTCCTGCTAGTACTGTTACTACTCCAAGTACCTAATATCTAATGTTTTTAAATGACACTAAGAACATATTTACAGTAGATTAACTACAAGGAAACTGTCCATCTCTGAATAACATTAGCAGTACCTATTTAAGATCTTCAATCCAATTTACATAACAAAAACACATAACAAAACCATTTTAATGAGTCATTGTATGTTCTACAATATGTCCGCAGTATTGTTTGCATTATTTTTAGCCGTTTTACTTTCTTACATCTTCAGTCATATGACGAGTTGTCTGCCTCAAAAAATAAACCAACATTTTGAAAAATAACATGAAAAAAAAAGTATTTCCAACTTTCATGAATGTATCAACATTACTAAACTGCAATTTTGCATTACAACACACTGCAAGAAAGACAGATTGTGGTTTCAAATCCACCACTTTCATATTGAACTGATTTTTTTTTTTCCCCCAGAAAGTAATGAAGCAAATTTATTTATTTTAATTTTGACCAACCACTTGAAGTAAATTGGTTTGCCTCACCTCAAGAAATTAGTTAAGACATAGTTATACTGTACATTTCAGGTTTCAGTGAGTGAATTACATTGCATATGTAGGAATTTGGTGGAACCTGAGCATCAAGGACGGAATGTTAAAGAATGCGCACATCACAGTGCTCAAATAAGAGTGTTATAAATCCGGCAATTATAACATGTTTATGAACCTGAAATCTTACCGTATTCTTCTTATAAGCACTTTTGTAAATGTACCATATTTTCCGCACTATAAGGCGTACCTAAAAGCATTCAATTTTCTCAAAAAGCCGACAGTGCGCCTTAAAATCCGATGTCTCATATATGGATCAATATTCTTTCTTGGCCGTAGTATTTCAAATGTTCTGCAAAGTGCTTTGTCACAGCTGCAGCGGTTGTGAAAGCCCAATATAAATAAAGCTTTATTGTATTGTATTCCCTCTACCGTAGCTCCATCTAGTGGATGAATAATGCAACCGCAGCCACTACAGTGAAACTCCTCTACAACAAAATCATGTTTGCAGCAAGAAATTTTTCATAACAGGGGGTTTTTCACTGTAGCAAATTTGATCTCAGATGTAAACACACAAAGAAATTGCGAAATTTACGATCAGCATTCACTTTCACTTACATCAATATCTTGGATAATGTCTTTTATTTTGCTTCCTCCGTCTTTCATTTTGATCACTTTTACCCTCTCTTCCAGCATCAGAGCTCTTCTTGTCTTAGCTGCTTGACATCCATAGGTCCGCTTTGTAGCCATTTTAGCAATGCAACGTTCTTGCTGCGTCTGAAACTAACAATAACAAATACTTCCTGGACTATTGCGCATGTGTAAACCAGTGTGGTGGTTGCTGTTGCCGTTTTCGAACGAAGCAGTAGAGGTCGCTGTTGGATTAGACTTCATTGGAGTGAATCTCATCGCGAGGCAAGAGCAGAGAAAAAGATTTCGTATAACGCCAGAG